AAGTTGAACATGTCGAAATTTTGTTCTTTTTAGGATAAGGGAAGGGTCTAATTAAGAATGAGTTATTAGTGGTAAAAAAAAATTTAAAAAATAGCATGCATATTTTTTGGATATAAAAATTTAGATTAAAACGTGTATAATATTTTTAGTAAAAAAAAAGTATCATAATTAAATACGATGCCCGTTTATCTTATTCAATTCATCCATAATTAATCAGTTTGTGTCGATATATATATTTTTAATAATACAAACTTTTTTGAGTGAAATAATAATATAACTCTTGATATATGTACACAACTATGTAATAAGAAGTCATTTTTTCTTACTTTTTAAATGCACGCTGAATGGCCTTCATCGTACGTAGTACTTGGAAGATTTAATAATACATGTATACCCCATCTTATAAGAAAAGGTTAATATTTTTTTATCTTCATTATAAGCAAAAGCTACACAATTTTAAGTGTAATTAATTAATGCATATTGTTAATCGTGCTCTCATTCAAAGGTGGAAAAGAAGAGTAGCTGAAATTATAATAATAGATAACCGTCATTAAAAACTAGGGTATTTTAGGAGAAGAAATTCAATGTCAAATGTAATCAAATGAAACAATTAATTTTACTTATCACAGCCTTGAAGGGGTGCAAATACACTCTTCCTTTTGGAAAAATTATAAGTAAGGTATATATAAATTTTGCAACTTTGCACCCCTGTTTTGGATATTTTACTCCTTCTGGACTAATAAAAAATATTTAAACTCAAAAGTTAATTACATATGTAACATTTTAAAGATCGAGTATATTTACATATGGAGAGGATATTTATGTAAAAGATCATATCACTTGATCAACATAATTTTTTAAAAATAAAAATGATAATCTACTTATGTTATTACAATATTAATCCTAGTTCATTATTTTTGATTATTAAATTATTATTTTTTACAAATTAGAAATTTTAAAATTAAATTATCTTGTACTCTTGAGTTTGAGTTCTGACTCCGTCACTGCTTATAATTATGAGACATGTTGGAATAATTATTTAACTTTCACAACAATATCCTACATGAAAGCAGACCCCCAACAGTTTAAAAAAAATGACTCATGCGGCTTCTATGCCATCTAAAAAATCATAAAAGTTGACATCAACCGTCAAAACAATGATGAAATTAAATTTGCATTTGATAAAAGAAAATTTCCAAACATGTGGGGCAAGCAAGACCTCTGATATCCATACATTTGAATAAATAAAAATGTTATCTTAAAGACATAAAAAATTATCTTAAAATATGTGCACTACTTAAAAAAGGCATATTAGATGATTTTTTTTGCCTATCTAATATGCCTCTATCATAAATTTAAAAAAAAATATTAAACTATCCAATATTATAATATTGAATGATTCAAAGAAAACATTCAATATGTGATCCAGCATATCATATTGTAGGAGGGAATTATATATTGAATGATTAAGGTCATAGCCGTCCAAGGTCTAGCCACATATAGCTATAACCATCCAATATATTTTATTTTTTTAATAATAGAAATGTAGTCCTCTACAATAGTACAATTAAAATACACAAGAAAAATCCTGTCCAATCCAATCTAGAAATATATTAAACTAATAATTTTATTAAAACCATAAAAACCAAACTATACTATACAATTGCTCAATAGGAAATCAAAATAATACTAACTTATAAGACCTAAATGAGAAAAGATATATAAAAAAATTTCCAACTCACTTATTTTTTTATCCATAGCTAGAAAACATACTCACACCTTTCTTCAATGACTTTGTTGATGGTTTTGAAGAAGTCGTATTAAAGAATTGCAATATGAAGAAATGTCTTGCATCAGATTCTAAGCTTGCTAGGTGGAAGTTAGGATAATCATTTTATGCCACGGATGGAAAAAATTGAAACTTTGTAGCAACATTTCCAAATTTATTATTATTTAAAAAACACATAATTCAAGATGTGATAATTAAAGATGTCTGGGAGATGGGCATGAATCACAAGTCATTTTTATTTTATTTTATATGGAGCCTTCAATTAGATGCTTGAGTAGCCAGTAAGGGATTAATCTCACAATTCAATACTACTACTGATTCATTATAATCTTCTACTCTATATAATCTATAATATCTATCTGGACATGAATTGCGTATATATATATATAATCTATTGTGCTGTCAATGTCCTCCAAAGTTTGTTTCCATAAAAATGCATTTTCAACAAGCCACGATTTCCACATATATTATTTTCATTTTCATATCCCCTCTCTCTCACTTCTTTGACTAATCAGCGCCTTGATTCATCAGAATTCTCATGACAAAAATAAACAAATGAATAAATGAATAAAACGTTAATTAATCCGAAGGAGGACAGTAAATTAGCCCAAAGGCCAAGGTGATAGAATCATATAATTATAATCATATATCTATATATCTATCTTCCAATTACTTGATCTTCTTTCTTGGAATATATTCACAGATGAACCAATAAGATTGCCATACGCATGAATCCGAACAAGACGTACATACATACATATGGAACCAGAATCAATTCCTCTGGATTTTGCTTATACAACTTTAGCATTTCGAAGATTTAATTGAAGAGAAGTTTAAATTTAACACCTCAATTCAATGCACATGTACGTATCTCCATATGAACTAGAAATTGCTCGATTCAATGTTTTAGACTCTGAAAGCAACTATGACAATGATGGCAAAATATACACTTTTTTTGTCTCAATTTGGATTTGGTTATTGTGCCTGTACTATCTGAACCAATTAAAATCCATATTAATGATTTAAATAAATTTACTCATTTATTAATTTTAAATGAAATATAAATTTATAATTATTAATTTAGATTTCAATGATTTAAATGATACGGCACTAAATAGAGTCATCAAATCCAAATCTCTCGATAAGAAAATATTTAGACTCTACATTAGGAGGAATAATTAATGCCTTGCAGCTATATACTATCATCATCGTAAAAGCATCTTTTCCACAAATAAGTAGACACTGACTTGATGTTTTTCATTTTATTACTTTAGGATTTACATATATTATGAATATCGACAAAGTTAATTAATAGTTTGTTTTATTGATAATAGGAATAAATGTTGCATATTTATGGATTTAATTAGTGTATAGTACACACACACACTCATCAAATGTTAATTGCATATATATATATATATATATATTACTAGTTTTACTTTAGTGGACCCATAAAACACACATGGCCAACTTAATTACAGAAACCAGATGTAAGTGATTCAATAAATAATTCAAAAAGAACGAAAATGAAGATTTATAATTAAAAGCAATATATTATCCTACCACATCAAAATAGTGAAATTCTTGTGGAATAAATCCGTGAGAAATACCCTTCTCACATAAGCAAGGTCTATGAGAGCAATTTTATTATGGAATACAAGAATACAGTCAGTTGGAATTTTCTGTATGACCATGGAATTATATGTTTAATGAGAATCATTAGAGTATAATTATAGAATATCTAAATTGTTCTTAATTTAATTTGTGGAAGTCCTGTTCAACTTATAAGATAAAAATGGCAAATTAAATACTGTTAGAGAGCACGCAGCCTTATATATACATACATATATATATATATATAGCCTGAAATGAACAAACAGTGACGTGATCGTTTCAAAGTGAATTCGTGCTAATTCACGGTAATTCGCAATAATATTGAAACCCACATAATTCTCTTTTGTTTGCTTCTTTAATTTTGCACATATTATGCTCCCTATACTTTTCTTGTTTACTTGAGCAAATATAGGGAATTCATCCATGCTTAACTATATGGGTTTAAGAGGGCAACGATACGATCCGTAGGGTTGCATGCATCTCTCCAAAGAAATTAAAAAATAATTAATTCATCAATTCTTTGTTTTGTTTTGTTTGTGTGTTTATGATCAGGATTTTGATTTCGGCTCCAAATTAAAAGCATGAGACTCCTATATAGCTTGCCTCCTGCTTTTAAAATCATATCACTGTTTTACGTCTTCATGATATGTTAAGAGCTTCTTAATTATAGGATTAATGTATATTTTACTTGTCTAGATCATTCTCTCAATCATAGCTAGCACCGTAATGAATTTTCTAATAATGCCCTTAAGATAATGTATAATTGCACCACCATTGTGTAATTGTCACGACGTAAAAAGAATCAAAAACCATTTACCTACCCTTTGGATATAAAATTATCACCACTCACTCACATAAAGCAAACCACACCCAAATCATCAAATTAAAATGTAAAACTTCACAATCCTTTTATTAATTGAATTAATTAACATATGCCTTGTCCACGTCGTAGCCTGCATCACGCTACTTTTCTAGCCCAACTATGACCTTAATCATATCATTAAAAAACCATTCTGTCTAACAGTTTCGTTCATTCATAAAAAGTACAAACCACTAATACTTTCTCAACCTAGGTAGGGGCGTGCAGTAATTAGGAAACTTCTCTTGTGGTTGTTCTTTCTGTTTGATGTTTCTGAATTCTGACAGTTCATCATCATTATGTTATCGTCGTCGACCTTGTCACAGGTCGTGGTTAGAACAGCAAGAAGAATGCGATTACGCTTTGAATTGGGCTCCCTCTTCGAAACTGAAACGAGCAGCCCCCGTGGATCATCCCGCAGCCGTGTGTCGTTTTCGCAGAACAACAAACTCCGAAACGAACTGAGAGCGTCAGCTCAAGCGTAGGCTCGGAATCTTAGACGGCTTTTGCTGACTAAGCGATTGATAGGGCCCACACCTGTCGGGTCCTTGACCCCCAGCTCCTACGCGGCCCGGGCCCACGTGTATCTCAATTAGGACGCACTGAAAACCCTTCTAGTCTTTTTGTATCCCGACAAAACAGACGCTGGCTGAGCCTTGTGACATGACAAACAAAGCTTCTTGCCCTATATAAGCCTCATCAATTCAATAACTACAATCACAATCTCATAATCAGCTTCGCTTTTTATTAAAATCCTGAAATCCCTTTTCTCTTTTTGTGATTGAAATTCTGAAAACGCCCCACACCAGAATCAGATACATATCTTCTCTCAGCACACAGCCATGGCTTATGACCCTGCTAGTGAGAACGACGCGCAGGCTCTGCAATTCATAGAGGACATTACCAGAGACGCAGCCTCCGTGCAAGAGAGAGTTTTGGCCGAGATTCTCAGCCAAAACGCCGAGACTGAATACCTTAAACGGTTTCAACTCAACGGAGCCACCGACCGTGACACTTTCAAATCCAAGGTTCCTGTCGTTACTTACGAGAATTTGCAGTCCGATGTCCAACGCATTGTCAATGGTGATCGTTCCCCCATCTTCTCCTCTTGTCCAATCTCTGAGTTCCTCACCAGGTATATATATACTTCTACTGATATACTACAAACACACACAAGTATATTTGTACAAAGTATTATTGTCAGTTTTAACAAATATATACCGCCAAAAAAAATGCAGTTCTGGAACATCTGGTGGGGAGAGAAAACTGATGCCGACAATTGATGAAGAGATGGACCGTCGTCATCTACTGTTCAGCCTTCTCATGCCTCTGATAAAACAGTATGTTTCATTCCGGCTAGCTCCATTAACGTTATTGAGATTTTGCTTGACCACCGCTTTAAAGAAGTTTAAAGTTTGATCTTTCCTCGTTCTTCCTCCGATATTAATTCAATTTGTTTTTGTCCTTGAACTGAACAGAAATGTGCCGGATTTGGACAGCTGGAAGGCGCTTCGATTTTTGTTCATCAAGGCAGAGTCGAAGACTCCAGGCGGAATAGTGGCACGCCCAGCCAGCACAAGCTATTACACAAGCGAGCAATTCAAAAAGAGACCATTTGAAGCGTACACGAGCCCCAACGAAGTCATCGCTTGTACTGATTCGTTCCAGAGCATGTACGCGCAGATGTTATGTGGTCTCATCATGCGACACGAAGTCCAAAGAGTCGGAGCCATTTTCGCCTCTGGGTTTCTTAGAGCCCTCAAATTTCTTCAACATAACTATCAACAATTAGCCCACGACATCTCCACGGGGACTCTAAGCCCACAAATCACAGACGCTTCTATCAGAAAATGCATCGCTAACATCTTGAAACCCGACCCGGACCTCGCAGATTTCATCACAAGAGAATGTTCCAAAGAGAATTGGGAACGCATGATCACCAGAATTTGGCCTAACGCTAAATACCTTGACGTTATCGTCACGGGTGCTATGGCTCAGTACATCCCCACTCTCGATTATTACAGTGGTGGCCTACCTCTCGTCTGTACCATGTATGCTTCCTCGGAATGTTTCTTCGGACCTAATCTCAAACCCTTTTGCGACCCATCTGAAGTATCCTACTTAATCTTGCCAAACATGGGATACTTCGAGTTCTTGCCCCTTGACGACAAGTCATCTTCTGATCCGGTGGATCTGACCGACGTGGAAGTCGGAAAGCAATATGAGCTGGTTGTGACCACGTACGCCGGCCTGTGCCGATACCGAGTCGGCGATATTCTCCGAGTCACGCGGTTCCACAACTCGGCCCCGGAATTTCAGTTCGTGGGCAGAAGGAACGTTCTGTTGAGCATTGACTTGGACAAAACAGACGAGGCCGAGCTGCAAAAAGCCGTTGACAATGCGTCGTTGCTTCTAAAGGAGTTCAACACTAGCGTAGTGGAGTACACCAGCTACGCCGACACTAAATCCGCCCCAGGACATTACGTGATTTACTGGGAACTGTTAACGAAGGACGACCCTTCCGTCTGGCCCACGGATGAAGCCTTGAACCGGTGCTGTCTAGTGATGGAGGAGTCGCTGAACGCTATGTACCGACAAGGCAGAGTGGCCGACCGATCTATTGGACCGTTGGAAATAAGGGTGGTGAAGAACGGTACGTTTGAAGAGCTTATGGACTACGCGATCTCGAGAGGCGCGTCGATCAGCCAGTACAAAGCGCCGAGGTGTGTCAGTTCGACGCCAATTCTGGAACTGCTTGACTCGAGAGTGGTTTCGGTTCACTTCAGCCCTGCGGCACCACACTGGACGGCGGGAGGTCGCCGTTTGGATTGATGCAATGATGGCCGAAATTGAATGTCCAACCCAGAAAGCGTTAGGCTTTGTCTCTTGTATAACTGGATGATCACCTATGTGCCGGCTTTTTCAAGAAGTGATGTAATCGCTCTTGTCTCTTCTTCAATTTGTTACTTATTTTTGCTATATTATTCTGGTTCTTGTTTGTCCATTAAGTTAAAAATTGGTGAATAATAAGTTAGTGTCATGTCCAACAAAGCCTTGGTAGCCATGTTTATTTTTTCTTTTTTTTCTTTTTTATGTGTTTTTTTTTTTTCAACTGATGTATGTTTGATTTCTTTTCGAGAAGTTTTGGAAAGACTTTGAAAGTTGCTGGGGTTCATTTGACAATGTTGGGAATGGGAGGGAGATTTTAAATGTAAGGAAAGAAAAGACATTTTTTAAAATAAAAACAAAGAGAATTATTACTTCATCTGTCCCTATTTATTTGTCTTGATTTTCTTTCCATGTTAGTTTCAAATTTTGAAGGTATAATAATGACCCCTTTCCAATAATATCATTCTAAGAAAATAAAATTTCATATTCTGTCTTTTAATCTCTTGGTATTAAATGCTGTGGAATTAAATGGAGGAGAAAATGACCAAAAAAAAAAAATTCTTACATCTTGCTTAGATTGTTCATGGGTAATTTAAGACTTAATCACCTAACCTTACAAACTTAATATACTTTTATTCAATCAAATCAAAATAAATAAATTTTAATATATTAATAATATTAATAACGAGAACTTGTTATAGAATAAATAATATATAAAAAATCTTCATGTCTTAATTTAATTATAAACAAGTACCTCAAATATGTAAGTTCTAAATTTTATTTAGAAATTCCTAAATAAAATCAATATTAAGATTTTTTGTTCAAAAATAAAATTTCTTAAATAATATCACTGTAGATGGAGTTGCAAATATAAGAGAATAAGTTACAAATACCTATAGTTGAAAAAACAACATTATAAATTCAATGTTGAAATCTTGAATTTCTAAATAAAATTTGGAACTCGAATTACAAGTTAAGTTAAATGAAATTACAAATTAGATATAATAAATTGCAAATTTTTGAAACTAAATAAGTAATTTCTCATAAAAAATAAATATTAAGACTATGTTCATATGTAAAATTGGGATATAGAATTACAAATCATAATAGATGAAGTTGTAAATTCTTGAAGTTATTGAATAAATAATCTCATAAAATTCAATGTTTAAAATTTTGTGTTTTTTATTTTAAAAAAAACTGTGTTCTTATATTGAATTAGAAAACCGAGTTGCAAATCAAAGTAAAAAAAGCTACAAATTTCAGAAAGCAGAATGCAATTTTGTATATTAAAAATTTTGTAAAAAAAATCAATTAAAGACCCAAACAATTTCCTTTGTATGCTGAAATTTATTGGGACTTTGAGGTGATAAAATTGTCCCTTTAATACTTAAGTGTCATTCTCCCTTTGAAATATAAGAAAAGTCATTTCTTAAAATAAAAAATTGTCGCTTTCTCGATCTCTGTTTACTTGTCTTCATTTGCTTTCCATATTTGGCTTCAATTTTTTAGGTATAATAATGAACAATTTCCAATAATATTATTCCAATTAAGAAAATAAAATTTCATATCCTGCCTCGTAATCGTAAATGCCTCTTGGTTTTAAATATTGTGATAATCAAGGATAAAAGTGAAAAATAAAAAAATAATAGTACTTTTTTTTTTACCAACTTAAAAAACAATAGTACTTAAATCCTTCATAGATTTTTTATTCTCGATCTGTGTGCTTTGTCCTATGCATGAAGATAAGCAAATAAAGGCACGGCAAGTACTCTCTCTCTTAATCTCTGACCCCATTTATGCGATATTTTTTTGACAAAATTAATACACATGTATTTCCCCAGTTTTACATATTAATCACTTTTAAAAAATATAATTTAATTCAATATGAGTTATAAGTTAATGAAATTATTTTATTTTAAATTAAAATTTTTAAATTATCTTTAAAAAATAAGAAAAATAAAAAAAATATTACATTATTTGTTTGCCTTTCATTTTTACTTAAAAATTATATTTAAAATTTTACTTACTTTTATTTTTTATGTTTTTGTTGTGTTGATATTAATGAAATTGATAAAAATTACTTATAAATAAGACTAGAGCAAGTATTCCTTTAATTTTATTTATAAGATAGAAAAAAATATATTTATTTTTAATTTTAGTAAAAATGTTAAAAGTGAATTATAAATAAAATTAGAGGGGATAAATGAAGTTAATTAAATAAATACACTGTTTGCAATCTTAATTTTTTATAAACTTTTAAAAAAATCTTTTATTAATAAAATATAGAAAAAAATATTTAATAAGTGAAATAATGATGTGTAATATTAGAATAATAATTATTAATAAATTATTATTTTTTTAAAATTTATTATATTTTAAAATATCAAATCACATAAAAAAATATCTTACAAAATAGAAGACGGATGGAGTATTATTCTAATACTCTCTTTATTGAAAACTATAAAATATTTTTAATATTTTAAAATATAATAAATATGTTTCTTTTAAAGAACTCATAGTAAATAAATTATTTTATATTTATTTTAAAGTAAAATATTTTATTAAATAAAGATAAATATAAAATAATGATATTAATTTAAAAATAATTACTTACTTTACTGAAATTAAATTTGATTAAATATCATGTGTATATATTATATACTTCTTCTGTTTAAAAATATAAAATATCTTTTAAAAAATTAAATGTTAAAAAATACAAGATATTTTTAATTTTTTGATATATAATTATTATTTTTTTTAAAATATCTTTATTAATGATGATTTTATATTTATTATAGAGTATTTAATAAAGATAAATATAAAAATTAAAATTAATTAAAAAGTAAATAATTATTTTATTAAAAAGTAAAATTTAATTAAATTTTTTTTATATTTTTAAACGAATAAAGTAAACGGTACTATTAGATATGGGTGGGATTGAGGAGAAAAGTTGATGAAACACGTGGAATTTGTTTCGCACGAGTCTTCAACGTGTGGTGATGCTTGTCGGAAGCGTGACGCGTGACCTTTATTACCTGATTGGCATGCGCTCGGCGGCTCAGGACGCTGCGTTCCTTTATTGGAAGCCATATGAAGTACTCTCTTCTGTCTTATTTATAAAATATTTTTAAAAATAATTTTTAATTTAAAATATAAAATATTTTATAGTAATTAAATTATTTTTAATTTTACTTATTTTTAATTAACTTAAAAATATTTAATATAATTATATTATTATTTAAAATTAATGATAAAAATAAAAGTATCTTTGTTTTATTGTGATATTAAGAAAAAGAATTAACTTTTTAATATGCCTAAAATGGTTTAATGTTTAATGATTAGCATGTTATTGTCGCATATATAGAGAAAACAATAAAATCATGTTTGCTTTATAGAATATAATAAATAGAATGAATTAAAAAATAAAATAAAAATGAACTCAATCATCATAGTAATATAATAAAACTCATCAATATATATCCTTCTATTTAAAAATATAAAATATTTTTAATTAAATCTCACCTTTCAATAAAGTAGTTACTTACTTTTAAACTAACCCTATCTTTTCATATTTATACCTATTAAATACCTTACAATAAATATAAAATCATTATCAATAGGGACACTTTTAAAAAAAGACAATGATTGCACTTTAAAAGATTAAAAATATTTTATAGTTTTAAATATACAACTCTTCAAAAAATACCTTACATTTTTAAATTGAGGAAGTACTTCAAATGTAAGAATCATCACACCCTTCAAAAATTTCATAAATTATGATTCTCAACCTCCTAAACTAAATTACTCATTCTCCTTATAAATGTGTTCATCTATTCCATTTAATAATCTTATTCTTATTTTTATTTTTTAATCCATTCCATTTTATTTTATTTTAATAAGCAAATGTGACCCAAAGTGTGTTAATTGGCTTGCAAAGCCTAGTTTTGACGAGGGTCATGATTGTAGAATTACAAAAGATCCTCATTTAGAGCTCATTCAGTAGTTAAGTAGTTATATCAAGACACAAGGGGACTTAGTGGCCTTAGTTTGTTATTAGTTAAATAAAGAAATTTGGGCATTGCCGTATTTTCTCCACAAAAATTTTTTTAAATTTCTGTAAAAAAAATGCTAAATGTTTAATGTTGTGTGGGTTTTGAGCCAGATTTAAAACTTATTCCCGTCCCTTAATCATATTTGATTTTTTATTTTATTCTTATATTACTTTTATTTTGGATTTTATTTTCATCTGTTAATTTAATTTTACTAGTACATGTTTTAATATTTTCCCTTAAAATAAAACAAAATATGCTATCATGAAATAAAAGGATGAAAAAGAAAGTTTGGATAAAAAAAGCTCAATTAAACAAAATACTTGAAATATATTTAAAGAATCAGAGAGCCTTCCACAATATATAAATTAATGAAGTAATTGAATTGAATTAAAAATTAAAGATGAGAATAAAACTAAGACAAACTAAATTTTGGTCACTTCGATCACTTTTTATAATTTAGGAATTTTTCAAAAAAAAAAAGCACACACACACACACATATTATTAATTTAATTTTAGTATCTTCTCTATCATTAATTTCTTAAAAATAATTTATAACTTAAAAATATCATTAAATGATAATTTTACATAATAGTATTTCAAAATACAAAATTAAATGTCACCATATATGAAATAGAAAAATCTTATACAGAATGTGTGTGTGTGTTTTCAATTAATTTCATATGTTATAATGAATTGATGATTAAAAAAGTATAAGTGATCTTCAAATTTTATAAAATCTATGAACCAATATACAAACACTAAAAATATATGCTAAACATAGCTAAACTAATTGAAAAATTCTTACATAAATACAGTGCACCATGTCATTCAAAAAAAATCTTATATCAGTATTTTTAATAATTTCTTTTTGAAATGGAGTGTTTATATAATTTCTTATCTTTGTTTATCATCATTCATGGCAACATCAATTCATATTTATAGTCACCTAGCATAACATGTTTTTACTAAATCGAGCATAAATGACGTACGATAATTTCTCATACTAGTCTTCTTAATATTAATTCTCAATTCAATAAAAAATAAGATAAAAATTTAATGATATGACTTATATATAAAAAATAATTATTTATCTTATATGTAAAATAAGA